CAAAAATATAAGTCTTTGTTTTACTATGGTTGCAAATATCAAAAAATTTCTATATGTGACACGGCACCAGAGTTAAGTTAGGGTTTTTCAAAATGCTGACACGCCGAGCTCAAAATGTGGCCGGGTCAGAGCCCTATTTCTGGAAAGAGCACCTGCCTGGTCTCCATCCTGCCTCCCCTGCGCTCACTCTTCACAGTTCACGATGCTCCGCCCTCTTAGCCCACACGCCTGCCGCTGCTCACACGGCCCAGCGGTGCTGGCTGCGTTTCTGCCCCTGTGACCTCCGTGACCTCTCCGTGACCTCTCTGTGGCAGACGTGGCGTCACTGTGTCGTAGAGCTCTGCTCTGCGTGTGGGAGACACCATTCCCCGTCTTCCTGTGCCTGATGGGCCACGGCTTCCATTTCTTCTCCAGTGGATGCCCTTTGACCTTATCCTCCTGTCGCTGGTGGTGCGATCTCCTCTCTCTTGAGAGGCCCTGGCAAGTGGCGGCTACATGCCCTGTCTGTGCACGGCTTCCACATGGGTGTCCGGGCAAAGCAGCTGTCGGCCGCGTTTCTTTCTGCTCCAGGTCCTGCTGCCCACGGGGAGCCAGACTCCGGGGCGGCACTCAGGGCCCTGCCTGGGCCACCCACACCCGGCCAGGACTCTCACCACAGCCTCCACCACGTCGCAGTCACTGCGGCCACGCTCCCGGGGGCCATGTGACACCCCTGTGTGTCTCCCTCTGCCCTGCGCCCGGGGCGATTCCAGCGCAGGCCCTGCTCAGCGAGTGCCCACGCAGTGCCTGGAGGGCGTGCTCCGCTGTGGACAGACGTCTTCTCCCGCCGCTCAGCAGGTCTGGTCCCATCACCGCCGGGCGTCCTGCCGGTCTCTCCCGGAAGCCAGATGCCCTTCGAGCTCCCGTGGCCCTGGCTTTACCGTGTTAGCCCTGTGCCCCCCTGTGCAGTGCCCATCACAGGACCTCCTACCACCAGGTGCTTAGGAAACATGGAAGACTGGCTGCGGGCTTTCTAAGACTGTGTACCATGAAGCCCTGGGTACGTGAACTTTGTCCCCAAATGAACATGTTAATAAAAACCCCACTTAATAAATCATTTAATAATTAGCAAGCTGACATACACATGGAGAGCTGTTTCTATTTTTTCACACTGTAGACATGCTCCTAGAACAGTGATGGCAAACCTATGACTTTTTTTGGTTGATTTTTCTTTGTTAAATGGCATTTAAATATATAAAATAAATATCAAAAATATAAGTCTTTGTTTTACTATGGTTGCAAATATCAAAAAATTTCTATATGTGACACGGCACCAGAGTTAAGTTAGGGTTTTTCAAAATGCTGACACGCCGAGCTCAAAAGGTTCACCATCACTGTCCTAGACTCTTGAGATGGCATTTGAGAAAAACTTAACTCTTTCTTGAATCTACTTGGTGACACAGAGAGGCTCTGAGGCTGACTGGATTGGGTGTCTGGTTACTTCTTAAGCACGTGTAACTCTTCTTGGGTAGCTTAAGATATATTTTAGTTTCCTAGCTGAGGAATTCCTTCTGGTTTTCTCAGATCTGAATCTCTGAGATGGCCAAAGGGATAGTTCTCTTACAATATTAGTGGAAATGAGTTATAATTGGAAGTTCTTTAAGGAAACCCTGCTAATGAGTAGGCCGCGTGTGCAATCTTTTTCTTCTTCTTCTTCCTTAAAGTGAAATGTAAAATGTCAGGCAACTACCCATGGCTGACTCCAGGGACGGGGAAGAGCTAATGATTAGTCTTGTGTTTACAATTAAAGTCTGATTTCTTTTCCGAATTTTGGTTGACTGGCCAGTGGTCCTCTGGACTCCTCAGAGGCCTTGTGGATCCTAAATAGATTCTGCTTCGACTCCCAATGACCACGCAATTAAAGGACCTCCGAATGCTACCCCTTAATTGTGTTTATGTTCATTTTCTCTAGGCCTTTGTTCTATAATCTACTTCTAGTACCGTCAGAAATTTATAATTTTGTGTTTGTTCTTTGTTGATATACCACCCCAGTTTCCCAATATAGCCCTTCTTTATTACAGACATAACAACAACTAAGGAAATTACCAAGATGCCTGCATGAACTTGGGTGGAAACATGTGGCATGAGAATGGACTTAACCAGGAGAGGATATGGGTTTGGTCACCAGCTCCGGCCCTGGTCTGATGGGATTAATGCCTTGATCCCTTTGCACTTAACCTCCTAAGTTTAGTTAAAGACAGACATTTTGTTTGTCTTCCAAAGTGAGGTTCTCTTTGTATTTTCTCTGGGAGTCTGTGCATGAACTTGAATGGTCAGGTGGCTGGATAATGGAGAGCCAACCCTGTCCTTTCTGCCATGGAGGGTCCACTCTTGGGATTATTTCCCATCCCCCCATTCTCCCTTCAGGGCCCGATTCCCTGAGCCTTCCTGGGTGATGGTTAGTTAAGCTGATAATGGAAGAGAGTTAAGGGGGAGGCCCCATGGCAGGCAGGCCACGAATGTCCATTCTAACAGTGACCTCTAACACGTTCCAAGCCCCCGAAGAATCGCTCTGTTAGTGACTAATTAAGGCTTTTTCTGAAAGCAGCCAGAAAAGCAACCTCACGGCTGGGGATTTCAGGCCACAGGCGCCGGGTGTCTGGCGGGGCCTCTCACAGCCCGCCTGGCCCTCAGGCTCCGGAGAGAAGTGGCCCTCGACCTGCCATCTTCCCGGTCAGAAGGGCTGAGGCGGAGGCAGGTCCAGCCCTCAGGGCAGAGGAGCGCAGCCCAGGAGGCAGCCGGCGCCAGCGGGACCACCAGGGCCCTGAGTTCCTTTTCCTTCCTCTTTCCCTGGTGACTGGGAGGGAAAAGGGGAAAAGGCACTGATCGGGGCCACCCCAACCCCCAAGTGAA